TATTTACCAATAATAATAAACCAAATAATTTCCCCCATATATTCCTCCAAACCACAACTTAACCATTTCTGCTTTCAACACAATATACAATTAATAGTATCTCAATTATTACATTTCCCTAGTTAAATAGGGCTTTTTTTCTTTTGTGTTTTAAAATCCTGAACTCTCCTCTTTTTCCCTAAATTTCCCATTGTTTGCACGTACCTTTTTTGGTGAGGAAAAAGAAAAGAATTCTGCCTGCCTAATTTTCCAACCTTGCAGCAACAGCAAAGCAGTTTCAGTTTCGTTTCTTTGCAAGGAAGCAGAAGAGCCCTGAGCAAAACAGCGGAGACAAATCAGCTGAGAACCGGGAGGCCAATTAGCCTATGCTGAAGCTCCGTGGGCCAATAAAATTACAAAAAAAAAACACCGAACCCTTTGTTAAATTGCTGGCTCCCCCGCCCCCAGAATCCCACCACTGTGTAGGCCCCTCTTGATCTTGAGGCCCTAGGCTGAAGCCTAGTTAGCCTATAGGAAAATCCGGCCCTGCACCTGGGTAATACCAAGGTGGATAAACCAATTGGTAAACCAATTGGATAAACCAATCAACCATGAGAAGGTTTTCTTTTACAGCGTGCTTCCCTGGACACAACAGTGAGGAAAGCGACGGAGCTTGAAAGGTAAGACCTGCATCCCGCTTCTCGCCCATTCCACCTGCCACCCCCAAATTGCATCCCTAAAGGGGGTGGGTGGCTAAGCGAGGGGCAGGAGCCCTGCCATGCCTGGCGAGGGATGGGGAGAAGAGACTGCAAGGGGAGCCACATCTTGCTCCATGCGTCTTGCTTCTCCCCTGCCCCACCTGCCACCCCTCTCAATAAAGAGACAGCAGGGAAGGGAAGCAGCGAGGCTGCTGTAGCCATTGAGGTGGGGTGGGACGTGTTGAGCTGCTTGGCCAGCAGAAAGAACAGTGAAGGGAGGGCATATCCCCCCTTCCCCCCCTCTGGCCTTGCCTCAACTGATTTTGGTTGCGCAGCAAGCAACCCGGGGAAATGGCGGGACCGGATGTGCATGTGTGCAAGAAGCTGGTGGGGGGCAGAGGTGGGTTTCAGCAGGTTCTGACCAGTTCTGGAGAACTGGTAGTGGAAAGTTTGAGTAGTTCGGAGAACCGGTAGTAAAAATTTTGACTGGCCCCGCCCCATCTATTCTCTGCCTCCCGAGCCCCAGCTGATTGGGAGGAAATGGGGATTTTGTAGTAACCTTCCCCTGGAGTGGGGTGGGAATGGAGATTTTACAGTATCCTTCCCCTGCCCACCAAGCCACACCCACCAAGCCATGCCACGCCCACCAAGCCACACTCGCAGAACTGGTAGTAAAAAATTTTGAAACCCACCACTGGTGCAAAAAAAACCTTTTTTTTTTGAGTGAAGCCTTGGACAACTAACCTTGCTTTATATTGCACTTCATTATTCTTCAATAGTTTCTTTTTGAACACCCATCTACACCCAACAGCTTTTGGTCCCTCTGGTAACCTCATTGGAGTGAAAACTTTATGTTTTTGCATAGACAACAGCTCTTCATCCATAGCCTCTTTCCATTTCTTTTGTTCTGCCTGAGGTAAATTTAATACTTCTGGTAATTTTGAGGCTCATAAAAATATTACATATTTTACATAAAATATTACATATTTTACATACAACATTACCTCAACTGTGAATCTTTCTGGAGGAACACCTTTGTTTGCTCTTTCAGACCTCCTTGGAATAAAATGTTCCCGTTTCACCAGAATCTCACTTTCCAAACATTCCTCTGAGTATACTCAGACTCTGAGCTACTCTCGGATTTCTGTTTAAAATGCCTGTGTGAATGTTTATTTATTGGAGACCTCTGACTAATAGACATAAAAATTTCAGTATTGGCATGTACCTTTTCCCAATTCTTATGTTCAGAAAAATTTGCAGAACGTGTAATAACATTTTTGTGTCTATATGTAAATCTATATGCCTTTGATCCTGATTGGCAACCTATAAATTTCTATTTCCTTGCCTTTGGCTGTCCTTTCCGCCTAATTGTTTTGGGAATGTGCACCCATGCATTGTTGCCCAAGTTTCTTAAATATGCCAAAGATGGTTGTCTTTTACATAACAAGTAATATGGAGTTTCATTCATTGCCGAACTCGTGTCTATTGACCAAATAATTGTGTGGGAGGAAAAGCCCTCTGGAGTAACCTTCATGTGGGGAAACCGAGGGAACTGCCAGGTAGAGCCAGGCATGGAGACTAAAGATGAAGCACCCCAGGGCAAAACGGATTGCAATGGCGTGCTGGAAGAGCAAGCCATCAAATTCCTGAGAGATGCCCTCAACAACCTCAGAGCAGCGAGGTCCTAGGCCAGCTGCCTGACTGACCTGGAAGATGATGGTGCAACCATGCCTGCTGCCATGGCTGCTGTAGCACCTGTCCTCTTGGGCCCAACTCTGGCTCCAGCATCCACTCTGGTAGCCTAACCACCACCAGCAGCCTGAGAAAGAGAAACCACAGCCCACCAGCCCTGAGGGTAAAATTCAGGAGAGACCTAAAGCAATTGGGATTCTTCCTAGCTCAGGTCTGGACCTACATGCAGGAATATGGAGCCGACCTGCCAACTGAAGGAGCCAGGGCATGATGTATGACTATAGCCCTGGAAGGGACCAAGTGGAGAAGATTGTGCAGCTCTGGGGCATCGTCATTGTGGTCACTCTCCACAATGACGATGCCCCAGAGCTAGACAACTTCAACCGCTTTATGACAGCCCTCCGGAAGAAGTTTGAAAACCCCCTCACACAGACTGCTCCATAGAGATACTGCCGAGGGGCAAATTACCAAAGCCATGACTTTGTACTCCATGACTCTGAGGGAGCTCCGGCCATTCATAGACAAAAACTTGAAGCTGGTTTTATACAGAACACGAATGGTGGTACTTTTTAGGGAGAAGAAAGTTGGCTCTCTCTACTTATGGGTTAATTATTGCGGGCTTAATGTGGTCTGCATCAAGAATGTTTACCCCTTGCCATTGATGAAAGATATATTAGCCTACTTGGCCAAGGGAAAGATTTTCACTAAACTAGATTTATGGGAAGTCTACTACTGAGTTAGAATTAGGGAAGGAGGTAAATGGGAAATTACTTTCAACTGACCACTGGGATGCTTTCAATTTTGGATGCTCCCCTTTGGACTGCAAGGGCCCCCTGCTGTCTTCATACAATTGATAAATGAGATGCTATATGAGCATCTATGTAAGGGAGTTTTCCTTGATGATATTTTAATTTACTGTATACTGAAACCATGGTTGAGTATGTGAAACTAGACTCAAAAAACTCTGGGCTGCTTGGCTGTACCCTAAACTCTCTAAATGCAAATTCCACCAGGGCAAAATTGACTACTTGGGGTACTGCATCTCCCACGAAGGTATAGAGATGGACTTGGAGCAATGCTGAAATGGGCTCCTCCCCCCCACTAGGAAGCAACTTCAATGCTTCCTAGGTTCTCTAACTTTTACCAACAATTCATCCCATCATTTGCACAAATAGCACTACCCATTATTAACTTGCGGAAAACCAGATTGATAAAAGGGGAGGGGAAACCAGGGGTGAAATCCTCCCGGTTTGAACCGGATCACTCGATCCGGTAGCGATGGCAACGGGTGGTTCAAGAACCGGTAGCAAAAATCCCTTCCCCCCCCATGCCCAGCTGAGCCGCGCAATCATCAAAGGCTTTTTTTTCCTTTAAAAAGCATTTTTTTCTAAAACCTCTTCGGCCAAAGAGGTTGTAGAAAAAATGCTTTTAAAAGGGTGGGAGGAAAGTTGCCCACGCCCACCCAGTCACATTACCCCCCACCAAACCATGCCCACAGAACCGATAGTAACAAATTTTACATTTCACCACTGGGGGAAACCCAAACCCAGCCAGCCCCTGTAATGGTCCATGGAGGGCCAAGTGGCATTTGCGAAACTCAAGCATTTATTCACTGCCAAGCCAGTTCTAAACCACCTGGATTCGAGCACTCCTTTCGCTAGCAAGGTGCTAGCAACGTGGCGGTGGGGGCTGTATCAGGAAAATGAACGGGTTTTTGCAACCATGTGCCTACACTTCTGCAGAGCTAGAAATTCCATGACAAATACCCAGATAAGTCCTATTGAAAAGCAACTAATCATGTCTGTTTTCTTTCTCCTCCCTTCCTCTTTCCATACAGGCCTTTGGCATTGTATGCCAAAACAACTAGACACGAAGTTTTTTCCCAGCACTGTTATGCCTAAGGATATTTATCCACCTAGGAGGGCTGTATTGCTATTATCCTTTTCTTCTTTCCTATTACCTTCTCCTATCGGTATCTTACGATTGTACCTTTGTTGTATCTTATGAATCACGATTAGTCATTTTGTTGTTTGTATGCTTATGCGCCGGAGACAAATGTGTCCAATGATTCCGATCACACCTGGCCAATAAAGAATATTTTATTGTGTAGCGTTCTGATATTCAGGAACAATTCCTGGATCCTTTTCTGCACTCCTCAATGAAACCAAGCCATGTGGGGGCGGGGGGGGTCTTTGTGTGCCGTGGGGACTTGTTCCATCACCGAAGGCGCAGGCCAGCCAAGCGCTTCCATTCCGAAAGCCGCCTTCGGCTCGCTGGGCGACTCCGTGGGCAACCTAAGGCCAGGAGGAGCCGAAGAGGCGGCTTCCTTCAGCGGGTTCTTTGCGGGAGGGGAGGGGAGGGAGGGGGGCCCAACCCGACGGAACCGGAAGCGCCCCCGAGCTGAAGCCGGGCTCCGCACAAGGCACCCAGGGCAGATCCTGCAGCGGGCGGGGAGCGGGGCTCGGAGGCGCGGATCGGGTGACGTCGCACCCCGCATCTCGCCGAGGCTTTCCGGACAAGCCGGCCGCTGAAGCCGCCCGGGAAGCGCCGTCCGGTGAGATCCCCGCGGGGCGTTTCTACAGTCCCGTCAGAGTAGCCGCCCCCTCCGACGGACTACCGCTCCCGGCATGCCCCGGGGCCGTGGGCGGGGCTCCTTGCGCAGGCGCACCGCTTCCCCTCTTGCCATAATGCGGCGGCGGCGGCGACGGGAGGGGGAGGCCGAGTCGCTCCTAAATGGCGCCCAAGCAAGACCCGAAGCCTAAATTCCAAGAGGGTGAGAGGCGGCGCGGCCTGGCGGGGGCGGGCTTTCCCCCTTGGCCGCGGGGCGGGCGGGCGGCCCTCCCTCCCTCCCTCCCTCCGCGACTCCCGCGCCGGCCCGGCCCGGCCACTAACGCCCGTTTCCGCGCAGGTGAGCGGGTGCTGTGCTTCCACGGGCCTCTCCTGTACGAAGCCAAGGTACGTGGCGGCCCTTCGCGCCCACCCCGATGGGAGACCGCCGGGCTGCCGGCTCGGCCGGGCGCGGAAGAAGGCCGCGGGCCTCCCCGGAGCCGAGCCCTGCCTGGCGGCCGCCCCCCCCCCTAACGCCTCTCCTCCCCCCAGTGCGTGAAGGTGGCCATCAAGGACAAGCAGGTGAAGTACTTCATCCACTACAGCGGCTGGAACAAGAAGTGAGTCCCGGCGACCCCCCCGACCCCCCCTCCGGGCCCCTCGGCTCGCTCGGGGCGCCGCCTGGGCCCTTCGGCGTCGGGGCAGGGAGGAGGAAGGGCCTCGGTCAAGTGTGGCCGGAGTGGGAGTCGCCCCGGGGGGCTGCCCAGCCCTTAGGAGGCCGGGACTCCTCTTCGCCCGGGAAAGCCCCCCCCCCCCCGGGGGGCCTGTGCGGGCTCCCTCCTTGGCCTCGGAAGCCGCCGCCTGGACCGAGGCCGGACAAGGCTGCCCTCCGAGATCTTCGGCTGTCCGCCCAGTTTTTCGATTCTGTGCCCTTTTCATTGCTCTTCCTCTGTACAGGCTGTTAATGTTTCCCGCTCAAAACTCTTCTGGAAGTGATTTCTTTAATTATTCAAATTATTTTCAAATTATTGCACTAGAGCTTAACTTTCCTTGATGAAAAATAGAATTCACCGGATTGTACATTTCTGAAAAATGGGTTACAGGGAGTCCTCAACTTATATCCACAAGTGGGATCAATTTCCATTGCTCAGAAAAGTGTTTCTTGATTTCAATCTCTTTTTTTGCCATAATTGCTAAGCTAATCACTGCAGCTGTTAAGTAAATCAGTCATTAAGGGAATCTGGCTTTCTCCATTGCCTTGTCGGAAGCTGGCTGGGAAGGTGATCGCTCAACCATAGGATGTTGCAACTGTTATGAACAAATGCCAGTTGCTGAGCAGCTGAATTTGGATCACATGACCATGGGGTTGATACAATAGTCATAAGTGTGAGGATAGATTGTAAATCATTTTTTTCAGGCCTATTGTAACTTCGAACATCACTGAATGATGGTAAGTCAAGGATTATCTATAATTTGGTTCTGATTTAGATGTTAGGGTTATTCTAGCCACTGTATCCTTAGCCGTTGCCAGAAATAAAGGTTGGGCCCCTTTGATGAATTTACAGCCTTCTGGTTAGATGGTCCAAAAGCTGTCCCGTTTTCTTTCAGCTGGGATGAATGGGTTCCAGAAAGCAGAGTCCTCAAATACGTCGACACCAATCTGCAGAAGCAGAAAGAACTTCAAAAGGCCAATCAGTAAGTATTATCTATAGAACCATTTCTGTGCATCCAGCAGTTTTGTTGATAGGTGATAGGCACCTGAGGCAGGACTGAAGCTTAATAAGAGACACTCAACAATAGGAGGCTCAGTTCCCTCATGGAGACTTGTGATTACTAACACAATTGACAGAATTATTTGCCATTTGTGGTGTGTTCACCAAATGTGTTCATGCCTCAGCATTTGAATGGCACCAAGTGTAATATTTTTAGGGGCATGCAGGATAAATCTGAGAGTTGGGGTGGGGGGACATATCCAGGAAACTACAGACCTGACAGCAATACCTGGGAAGATCCTGGAAAAGCTAATCATGCAACAGATCTGCAAACACCTAGAAGGAAGCAAAGTTATAAACAGAAACCAATATGAGTTTGTCAAAAATAGTTCATGTCAAACAACTCTTATTTTATTCTTTGACCAAGTGACCAAATTAGTGGCCCAGTGAAATACTGTGGACATAGTATATTGGATTTCAGTAAGTCATTTGGCAAAGCAGACTACAACCTTCTTGGTAAGCTACAAAAATGTGGAATAGACAACATCACTGCCAGATGTATTTGTAACTGGCTGACAAACCACACACAATGTGTAGTCCTTAATGGTACTATATCTACATGGAGGGAAGTAAGCAGTGGGGTACTCCAAGGTTCTGTTTTAGGACCAATACTCTTCAATATCTTCATAAATGATTTAGATCCGTGATGGCGAACATATGGCAGGCTTGACAGATGTGGCATGCAGAGCCCTCTCTGCTGGCACACGTGCTATCACCCCAGGTCAGATTTCCATGGCATTTCTTTCGTGAGCTTCTGTTTCCCTGCAAATGATGAAACAAGCTCACGAAAGAAAAAGATCTTACCTCTTGCTGTGCTGCCGGTGTTGGGATGCCCACCTCCCGCCAGCCAGCTGGTCTTTGGGTCTCTGCTGCGCATGCTTGCATGTCCACTCATGCAGGCACACATGTCCATGCATGTGCATGCCCGCACATTTGCACGTTTGCACATGCACGCAGTTTGTGTGCGCGCACCTTGGGCATGCACATGCACGCAGTTTGGGCACTTGGTGTCTAAAAGTTTTGCCATCACTGATTTAGATGATGGAAGCTGGCAAAAATTGGCCACACCCCAGAAGATAAGATCAAGATCCAGATGGAACTCGACAGACTTGAACACTGGGCCCTAACTAACAAAATGAAACTCAGTGTAGTAAGATTTTACACTTCGGTAAGAAAAACCAAATTTACAGGTATAGATTAGGTGAAACATGGTTCAATAGCAATAACTGAGAGAGATCTAGTGGACAACCACTTAAATGTGAGACAGCAGTGTGCTGCAGCAACCAGAAATGCCAATGCAACCCTAGGCTGCATTAACAGGAACCGAATTGAGATCACATGAAGTGTTAGTACCGCTTTGGTAAAAGACTTTGGTAAGACCACACTTGCAATACTGCATCCAGTTTTGGTCATCACAATATAAAGATGTTGAGACTTTGGAAAGATTGCAAAGAAGAGCAAACAAAGACGATTGTGGGCTAGAGGGTAAAATGTATGAGGAACGTTTGTGGGAATTGGGCATGTCTAATGAAAAGGACTAGGGCAACAGGATAGTGTTTCAATATCTCAGATTGCCACAAAGAAGAAGCGCTCAACGTATTTTCCAAAACACTAAAAGGCAAGACAAGAAACCATGGATGGAAACTAATCAAGGAGAGAAGCAACCTAGAACTAAAGAAATCTCCTGACAGAACAATTAACCAATGGAATGGCTCACCTTCAAAAGTTATGGGTGCCTCATCACTGGAGGCTTTTAAGAAGAGACTGGACGGTAATTTGTCTGAAACTGTATAAGGAGGATGGACTAGAAGACCTCCAAGGTCCCTTCCAATTCTGATGATCTATGATGTATGGATTGAGGCTTTTAAAACATTTTAATGTTTAAAAGCATTAAGCTACAGCAGTTCTGTACTTTATATTCTATATTTTAAACCCTTTTTCTACAAAATCCTAGCAGTGAATTTCCAAGGAATCCCGACAAAAACACTATCTCACACTGCCACTAGTTTCTCAGTTTTTTGAGTTTATGATGATTTATTGGATGCTAACAAAATAACATGTTTTTAAGAAGGTGAGTTGCCCGGAATGCACCACTTTGACAGCCAAATTGGGTTGTCCCTGGGGGGGCAGGGGGGGCTCTTGCTTTACTTTGCACCAGAGGAACAAAAGGCCACCTGCTGCCTCCTTACTTGACAGAGGAGAAGCAAAAAGTCCAGCCTGTTCTAACAATTGTGAGAACCCAGAATGCCTCTATTTCCACCCCCTGCCTATTGTTTGTCTTGGTTTGTGGTTCAGAGTTCCCTGCTAACTGCTTGTCGTTTCCTTTGTTCTCCTCATATTGTTGAATATGTTATTCATGACATCCTGGGAAAGAACATCCGTAATCCTTTTAAACTGTTATGCCTTGATTTTGTTTTAATTTTGGGGATGATGTGAGCACACCACAAGAAACAAAAGCAAAAAATAATAATAATTAAAAAATGGCCTGGTAGTAACCAAGAAGAATTTTCAAATAGGGCTAGTAGTATGTCTTACTTTTTAGTTCAGGGGGATAAATACTTTTATTTTCTGTTAAATATGCTTCTGTTTCTGGAAGAGATGAATATATTTTGGTTTGCAGTTGCTGTTTTGATTATGTCATAGTCCAGTAGTTTCTGGCGTGTGGCCCCATAGGATTCTGATACTCTACATCCCATTTCTAGCTCATCTAGTCTGGAGGGTTTATTTTTTATTTATTAAATGTATTTGCCATCCATCTTGTTTAGAAGAGACGGGTTGTTTGGTGGACCCCCACCCCACCCCCACCCGGCTGCTGCTGCCTTTGTAGGCTGATGTACAAAGATTTGAGCTACAAGTACAGTAGATACTCCCTGTGAAGGAAGGTTAGATTGGGAGGGAGCTTAAGTTCTTTATTTGGAGGTTAGACTGCTTTCCCAGTTTTTCTTAAACCAGTAATCCCTATCTTGGTTTTAGGTAAATGAAAGTAGTCATTTTAACTGAATTTATTTCATTTAAACTGAAATCCAATGATGGTTATGAATTGTGCACATTGTAGTTTGGTACCCTTCCTGCCTTGTTCTTGGAATAAGGGGGTCACATGGTCCTTCAAGAAAGTGCAGACTCCTCTCAAACCAGCAGCAGGAGAAGCCACCTTTGGAAGGTGCTGCAGTCCTTTTCCTAGTGCACTATTTGCACGCTTAGGGAGATGTACTTGTGTGTCTAATTAAAACATCTTTGCTTCCTTCCTTTGAAAGGGAACAGTATGCAGAAGGAAAGATGAGAGGGGCTGCTCCAGGCAAGAAAACGTCTGGACTCCAGCAGAAAAATGTTGAAGTGTAAGAAAATAATTTTTTAATTTTTTTCTTTTAACTCTTTCATCTAGGAGATCATAATTCACATGCTAAAATGGCTTCCTGCGTGTGAAATATTATATTAAAAAATGCAGCTTTCATCTGAAATCTTTGCTCTTTAAATGGTTGTTAGGTGAATATAAAGGGACCCCTTCCAAGCTTCTTTCCTGTTATAGTTTGGTTTAGATCTATGGAACTCCGAGTAAATGTGTAGATTTTATGTGGAAGAGTTTTTTTATTATTACATTATAAACAACATAAATTTTGCATTGAGCAGCACCCTGCCATCATTTTGAGCTTGGATCCCAACAACTTTTAATTTTTATGCAGTTTAGACAATTTAGCTGCTGGTAGAATTTTCCTCACATTTCTTTATGTGTGGGTCACTTTTCAAATCTGGAAATCTTTAATCTTTAGATTAGCTGACGACAGAGAATTCCTGAGTCATGAATCCCGGGGTCCGTTTCCAACTGGGCATACTAAATGGGCCTCATTTGGATGGAGCTATCCTCTGGATATTTCCTTTCAGAACGTTGAATTTTAGGGGACTTCAGCTGGTTTTCAGGAAGTAGAATGTTATGAGCAAACTTCCCTATTGTCCCTTCTAGAATGCTGCATAGTTTCTTGAGTGTGGATCTTCTCTCTAGGTAGAATCCTGTTTAGGTAAGCACCAGTGGCAGTTACAGTACTGATACTGATTTCAAAGGGAATTGTTTGTCTGTTGGAGACCTTAGCAGCAGCAGTTCCTGATCTGACCTTCTATGAAAAAAATCTAACTTTTATAAGCTTGAAGTTCCTCTCGAGAATTTCCAACCTTTAGATGGAAAAAGCACAATACAGAGAGTCACTTGTCTTAACTGGGTGCCCTTCTAAATAACACTAAACATTTTTTGGGCCTGGCAATATTCGTCTGTGTGCTTGTTGTCTTGTTAACTCTGGCACCGTTTTTTCAAGTGGAACTGAGGACTCTGATGCTCTTTCCTTAACTGCATCCCTGTTTGTGCCTAGGTTCTTCAGGCGAGACGGAGCACACACCGTTTGCAGTTTGGAAACCCCTGCAATATCGACACGGTGAGTTAAGGATGGAATGTCACACAAGGATCTGCATCCTGAAATCCAGATTTCCTTGCTTCTTTAGATTTTCTGTGCAATTTACCAGTAGTTAAAACTTTCTCTGTAATATGATGAACTTCTGAAAAAATAATGGCATACAGGCAGTCCTTGACTTAACAATCATTCATTGATATAAATCAATTAGTTATATAACTACCTTTTTTGTATATTAATCAATATGAACATGAATATTCCAATTATTTCCATGCAATCCAATTTCTTACAAATCAATTAATTATATTTACCAATAATAATAAACCAAATAATTTCCCCCATATATTCCTCCAAACCACAACTTAACCATTTCTGCTTTCAACACAATATACAATTAATAGTATCTCAATTATTACAATTCCCTAGTTAAATAGGGCTTTTTTTCTTTTGTGTTTTAAAATCCTGAACTCTCCTCTTTTTCCCTAAATTTCCCATTGTTTGCACGTACCTTTTTTGGTGAGGAAAAAGAAAAGAATTCTGCCTGCCTAATTTTCCAACCTTGCAGCAACAGCAAAGCAGTTTCAGTTTCGTTTCTTTGCAAGGAAGCAGAAGAGCCCTGAGCAAAACAGCGGAGACAAATCAGCTGAGAGCCGGGAGGCCAATTAGCCTATGCTGAAGCTCCGTGGGCCAATAAAATTACAAAAAAAAACACCGTACCCTTCGTTAAATTGCTGGCTCCCCCGCCTCCAGAATCCCACCACTGTGTAGGCCCCTCTTGATTTTGAAGCCCTAGGCTGAAGCCTAGTTAGCCTATAGGAAAATCCGGCCCTGGTTGTCCCCTTTTAAACCGATAAACTTCCATTAATTCTAGATCTGCGAATTTGGAACAATATTCAGATGTTGCTCTACATGATGGAGTAACAACCCCCAAACTGAGTGGAAGTTCAAGCAAAGTCCAACTTGTGCTGCGGGTATAGAATGTTGGTGAAGTTAGGAAAAGCAACAAGCTATTCCAATCAGCTGGCATAATGAAATCCAGTTACTGCTATGCAGAATAATAATTAACCTGATCAAACTGCACTTAATATCCTTCAGTGTTTACTGGTACATGATTCAAAATTTTCATTAAATGGTGAAAGAACGATTAGGCTGGAGTAGAATGAAAACCACTGCCACTCTTACATTGCTAGTAATATTTGCTTTGATTCTATGACTTGCCTACAAGTGAGGAAAATGCATTATCTTCGTAGGCTCTTTAGTTGGTTAAACCTTCTATTTTTTCTAGTAGTAATAAGTAGTAGTAATAAATAGTAATAAGAATTCATCTTCAAACATTAGTTGTGCAAAATGTTATCATTTTAAAAATGTGGGCTTTGGAAAGCTACATTTCAACTAATTCTTAGCTAGAACTGATATGAGTGGTGGGAAAACAAGAAAAAGGAAGTAGTCAGTGGAACTGTTTTGCACATGCAGTAACAGGTCTCTTTTTCTCTTTGGCAGGAAGACCAAAAAGAACAAACAGAAAAGTAAGAATTATTTTACTTTTATAAGGCTCTTGAATATTTTACCCAGCATCCCAGACGAGAGATTTTAAAAATGTGGAAGTAACTTAACTTGCCTGTCAAAATGATTCTCAAATTAAACTCAGTACAAAGACATTTGTACATGTTTGCTGCAGAGAGGATATTAATTTGTTAGATTAATATCCTGTCTTTCGTATAGGAGCTCAAGGTGGCATATATATATTTTCTCCCCCAATTTTTTTACCTACAACCACGATCCAATGAGTAGATATGTTGAGCAGAGAGTGATTGGGTCAATGTCATCTGCTGCACATCTGTATGCAGGATGGAATTGAGATCTTGCCTATACTTTACTTTTAACTCCACACTGGCTCTCATAAAGCCGGTAGCTGTTTTCAGATTTCAGGCATTCCATTCGCTCTTTAAGCTCCTCAACACACACACATCCGCCAAAATATTTTTTGAATGTTTGATCCTCACTTGATGGAAAGGGGCCCTCTGAGGTCACAGAATAGTGGAAAGTGTCCCCTTGGGTGCACTTTTTGCATTTCTGTGTTGGGCCTTCTAGCAGTACAGATACGATGGAACCAGAATTTCCATTGCTAAGTGATGTGGTTGTAAAGTATGGCTGCACTGTTTAGCAACAGCAGTCCCTGCTATTAAGATTGCTGCTCTTAACCGAATCCCGCAGTTGTTAGGTGCAGTAGCTTCCTGCTGACTACCTACAACCAAAGTCAATGGGGAAAATGGCAGGAAATTGTGAGTGCCAGGCCTGTAGACAGGCAAGTGGCTGCTCTGAGTGGGGGAACAGAACTGTCTCTGTGTGTGCGTGCAAGAGGCATGACATGCAGGGATGCAAGAAAGAGTTGGGGAAGGTGTGTATGAGAAGGTGTGCAGAGCAGATCAGGGAGGGTGCATGAGGAGTACCATATGGGAAGAATGTGTGGGGCCGCAGGAGTGGGGATCTGGGAGGGTGAACAGGAATGCCTGTGAACACAGAGGGACTGGGGGAGGGAATGCGAGCGGGGAGACTTACCCCGTGATTTGTGCCCTTACCTGCTGGCTTCCCCATTGACCTCTGGGGAAGCCAGCAGGGAAGTTTGAAAATGATGATCGCAGAATGCTTTGATCGAGTTGTAAATGAAAACAGGTTGCCAAGAACCCAGATTGGGATCCTGTAGCCATGGGAATTCCGAGGACCACCATTTGTTCAGCAGCATCTGGAATGCTTGCTGACCTAATGGTGGTAGAGCAAGGACTACCTGTACCTGTTCATTTTCAACTGGTGGCAGTGATGCCTGGAAACACAGCATATCTGGAGGTGGGGAAAAGACACTGGGTTAAAAATGTTGATATCCTTCAACTCTTAGTTCAGATTAACTCATGAACAGATCAACTGTAAATACATTTACTTCTTCTGTTAAAAGTGTTGGCAAAAAGATTGAACCTATAGGCATTCTGTTTGATCGTAAGAGAAAGGTGAGAGAATTGCCTGATATGGTTTGGATCAAAAGGTTCAGTTGACTCAGACATTGCATCATTTAAAAACACTTTTGCACAATACTGAATAACACTTTTTAACAATACTGAATAATGGAGCAAAAAAACCCTGTTTTGTACAGAGCTTTTGTTTAAAAGCATTACATAATGGAAAGGGCACTCTTCTATGTTGGTGACATTTGTCTCTGCTCTGAAGCAGCATGTATGGAGTGCAGTTTTTGAAAATGCTTAGCTTTAAAAACCACCTTAATCTTTTTGCTTCTATGATTAGCTCCAGGAATTGGCGAGGGAAGCAGCTCCAGTGAAAACCCTCAGCCTCCCAGGAAGAAAAGAGCTCGAGTAGACCCTACGGTGGAAAGTGTAGGTATTTGCCCTTGGGCGGTTGTTCCGGGAGGCAGCCAGGCCCATCTGCACCTGGCTTCCTGGCAGATTGCTGTCTTCGCTGGGACTTGCTTCTGCTTTGGGCACTCAGGAGGAGGTTTCAGGGGCATCACCCGGGCTCCCCTTACTGAGTGCTTTGCCATTTTCTTCTTTCAGCACTGGTGCTCCAAACTAAGTGCTAGGAAAGATGTATGGCAAATTGTTGAACCCTCTGGTCACCTCTTGGGGGGAACGTCAAGAAATGTGTAGCTTGATTCTTTATTCTGTTGCTTACTTTTGCTGGTGGGTTCTCGATATAGGTTCCTTGATGGCTTTTGTGCACTGTTATTATTGACATATTAGCAGAGACGATTCTTTTAATTCTGTAAAAGACCTTCATTTGGAACCCTGGGCCGCCTTTTTGGGTCCAGGGCAGCACTTGGCCCTTCCTTGTTTGGTTGCTTAATTTTGGAAGGTTTGTTTGTACACTGAGTCTCAAAGGTGCTTTTATTTTAAAGGTAACCACACTTCCTGATTTTTGTTTGAGATATTTCATCCAAGAAGCTTCTTCAGTTCTAACTAAGAAGAAGCTGCTTGTATGGGAAGAAAAACGTCTTAAAGAAAAGTCAGAAAATCCAGTTGCGTTTAAAAGAAAAGCACCTTTGGCACAACTACGACCTGGATGAATGAGACATTTGTACATAGAGTTGCGCCCAACTCAAATTTAGTGTCCCAGAATTTAAAGTTTGCATTTCTGTTTCTTCAGGAAGAAACTTTTATGAACAGAGTTGAAGTAAAGGTAAAAATACCAGAAGAGCTGAAACCGTGGCTTGTAGATGACTGGGATTTGATTACACGCCAAAAGCAGGTGAGTTTGAAATTGTGCCTTTAATTAGCTGGCTCCTTCTCTGTGTTTCAGCTCGGTGATGGGTATTTATGTTTTAAATGTCTTCAGGGCTGATGGATGGGCATTTTACGTCAGTCTCTGATGGTCTCTGGCTTTTTTCTCAGCTCTTCTACCTTCCGGCCAAGAAGAATGTAGACTCAGTTTTAGAGGACTATGCAAACTACAAGAAGTCACGAGGAAACACAGATAACAAGTGAGGAACAGAGGCTGAGCAGCTGGTTGGTCCTGAAGGGCAGGGCAGTCATCTGCTGACCACAAGCCCATGTCCTGGCCAGGGGTAAAATTCAGCAGGTTCTGACAGGTTCTGGAGAACCAGTAGCGGAAATTTTGGATAGTTCAGAGAACAGGCTGGTCCCAGAGTGGGGAGGGAATGGAGATTTTTGCAGTATCCTTCCCCTGCCACGCCTACCAAGCCACGCCACGCCCACAGAATTTCACCACTGGTCCTGGCCCAGCTCTTGGAAAGGAGGCTGGGTGGGGAGAAGCTCTCTTGCTTTGGGGAAGCAACAATAGGAGGCTGTTTAAAGGCACACATCCTCAAACATCTTGGAAGTAGCCTAGATTAGATCTGAGTGGGATATTGTGCTACCCTGCAAGCCCCTTCCAACCCTTTTCAGTCTCCTCCCTGCTAAATGCAGAGCAGCAATGGCAGCTCAGGTCATCAGTCTAGTGAAGTGCTGACTCTGAGGACCAGCTTGTTCTCTGGGGTCTGTTCATAGCAAGAGTGGTAACTTCTAGCACCATGATGGTGAACCTATCTGAGGCTCTGGAGGCTGGGGACAGCAAAAAACGTCACTTCCTGTCCCACCAGGAGTTGGGAAATGGGTCGTTTCAGGCCTCCGGAGAGCCTCAGACTGGTGAAGGTTGTTTTTGCCCTCCCCAGATGCACAGAGAGGATCTAGAGCCACGTGAGAAAAAAAAATGGGCCTACTGGGCCATCGCGTGCCAGGAGCAGGGGGAGGGGAGGTTGCGCACGCAGGCGAACCTCCCCTGCCACCCCCCTCCTGGCACGCAATGGCAAAAAGGTTAGCCATCACTGTTCTAGCAGATCCAAGGCACTTCCTTTGTGGGGAATCAGGCTAGGTTAGGGCAGGCTGCTTCGATCCGCAAGAGGCTGCTGAATGGAAGACATCTCTGGAGCCAGTTTGGTCCTTGGGCTTCCCTTCCTTCCAAGTGCAAATGCTTTTCAAAGTTTTGCTGCTTGTCAACTGTAATACTTAACTGCAGTAAGATTGAGGACCCGGAAATATATCCTCTCCCTACCTCCGCCTGAAGCTCTCCACTCTCAGGAAAACCAAATGCCATCCTATCCAGCCCTGTTCCCAACATCCTTACAAAAGCATGCCGGTCTTGGCATTGGCCCCGTGTGGCTTGCAACAGTGCCACCCCTGCCTCAAGTCACTGAGCCTGTCCTTTGGGCTCATCTGTTGGGACTCAGGAAAACTCTCCCTTTTCCACGGTCTCTTACCACATCTTTGTTGTGTTGTTTTGTTCTGGCTGTGCATCAGAGAATATGCTGTGAATGAAGTTGTGGCAGGCATCAAAGAATACTTCAACGTTATGCTGGGGACCCAACTATTGTATAAATTTGAGCGGCCACAATATGCAGAAATCTTAGCGGATCATCCAGACGCACCCATGTCCCAGGTCTATGGAGCACCGCACCTCCTCCGGTTGTTCGGTATGGATCACACTTTATGCACAAGGGCATAAAACGAAAGGAGAAATCTGTTTTGGCCAGTGCATTTTTTCACACATGCCATTGTCAAGATCTTACCTCTCCCTATTTGCATTACTTTTAAGCCTCCTTTAAAGCTGTCCATGTTTAAAGGATCCCTCTGTAAAGCCAATTGAAGGCCTGTGGTAGCAAAATGGGAATATCAGGTAATCCTGAGAGGGGCTGTTTCCTGATCAAGCTTTCTTCATTCCTCTAGATGGAAAACCAGGGGGCTTCTGGCAAAGGAAACTGCCTAAGAAGTTCTGATTTCTGCTAATGACTCCTTGGTGCTTTTCCCTAATTTCTTCTGCATTTTCCTACCCTCAGGAAATAGATGGGTAGAAGATAGATAGCGTAGGTAGTTGGCATAGGTAGTGCCATGGGCATGGTGCAGATAGTTTGCATGACTGAGATGCTAAGAACTATTTTTTTTAGCGCTCAAAGTCCTTTGGGAAGAAAGGTTCCTCATCTCATCTCCAGGCAGCTTCAATCCAGTTGACAGTTGATAGAAAGTTGGAGGCAGTAGATTAGGAGGCTGGGGACAGGAGAAAGAAGGAAGTGGTTGGGGGCTTGCTGATCTCTTGCACAGCATCTCTGGCCCTCTCAGCTGAAGAACGTCTGGCAAAGCAGGGCATCAGCCCCTTTCCCACAAGCACTCCCCTATTTCTGGGTCCTTCTCTCCCCCACCCCCCCAGCCCAGTTCAGCAGGTACTGAACTACCTCAGGTCAAGTTCAAGCAAAGTCTTAAGGTTTGAATGGTTGCTGCCAAGAAGCTTGTAAACCTGTTTTCCTTGATGCATCTTTTTATTTTGTGTTTGAAACAGTCAGGATTGGAGCAATGCTTGCTTACACACCTCTTGATGAGAAGAGCTTGGCCTTGCTGTTGAACTATTTGCACGACTTCCTAAAGTACGTATAAAGACTACCTTTAACCTCTCAAGAGCGAAGTACCGTATTTTTCGGAGTATAAGACACACCTTTTTCCCCCCTAAAAGGGGGTGAAAATTTAGGTGCATCTTATACACCGAATGTAGCCCCACCCACCCACTGGCCCCCACCCTTTGGCCTCTGTCTCCCAGCGGTTTACCTGCTTGAAGCAAGCAGCAAGAAGAAACAGCTCGTTTCAGCTTCAGCACAGCCTAATTAGCATAAATTGATTGGATGTTGGATCGGCCTCCCAACTCTCAGCTGTTTTGTTCTCTGCTGCTTGCTGCAAGGAGGTAAATTGCTGGGAGCAGATTTTTTTTTTCTTGTGCTAATCAAGCTATGCTGAAAACGAAAATGAAAGTAAAGTAGGCTATTTGCTGTTTGCTGCAACAGGCAAAATTGCTCAGAGGCAGAGGCAGATTTCTTTTTCTTTTTGGTGTTTTCCTTACCAAAAAAGGTAGGTGTGTCTTATAGTCCAGTGCGTCTTATACTCCGAAAAATATGGTACTCATGGTTTGCAAAGACATCACCAAGATCCAGGCATAGCTACCACACCAACATGTGATGTTAAGACTGTCCTGTCTCGGCCTGTGTTGGTACTGGATGGTCTGCCTTGTGAGATGTGGCCATTAATTTAGAAAATCTCTTCAGTGGCTGCTGTTTTCCAGTGAGAGGAGATGGGTAGGGAGGGGGTGATGTGACCTGGGTACGGCAGGGTGATTTTTTTTTTTTTCTGTGCCTTCCGGTCAGTGTTTGTTCTTGAGAATTGCCTGGACTAGTCCCTGCAGTTTTCTTATACAGCAGCAGAATCATAATCACAGAGTTGGGACCTTGGAGATCTTCTAGCCCAACCCCCTCCCCAAAGCAGGAGATCATATTGTATCCTGGACAGATGGTTGTCCAATCTTTTCTTGAAGACCTCCACTGCTTAATCGTTCTCACAACCACATCAAGATAGTGTTTCACTGTGGGCTCCTCTAGACCCATTTATTATTATTATTACTATTGTTGTTATTATTGTTGTTATTGATCATCGCACAGTCAGCCAGATGTTCAGACTGTGTTTGGCATTTTTGTCCACCTGTTGAGTCCTAACCAAGGACCTGGGATAGGCAGATGTGGATGTTAGATGGTATTACAGATATCGACGCAGGATGGAAGTTGTTCCAAGTAAACCTGCCTTCTGCAATTGACTGATGGCACAAATTTGTCAATGCCAATGATCAAGTGGTGCTCCAGTTGTTTTGGGATTGCACCTAAGGCACCTATTACTATTGGTAATAGTACACTTGCTTGACTTTGCCACAGTTGTTCTATTTCTATGTTTTTGTTTGTTTGTTTGTTTGTTTTATTAAATTTAAATACCGCCCTACTCCCGAAGGACTCAGGGCGGTGAACAGGCACAAAATAAAATACATAAATACAGAAGTTAGAAACATAATTAAAACCAAATTAAATAATTTAGCCCAAGACAATTAAAAATCCCAATAATTTAAAAACAAATTAAAATTCCAATTTAAAAATTTAAAAGAAAGGGGAGAAAATTAGGCCAGGCTGGCTTGCTGGAATAGGAGGGTCTTAAGAGCACGGCGGAAAGTGCACAGATCCGGGATCCTCCGTATCTCTGGGGGGAGCTCTTTCCAGATAGTGGGTGCCCCCACAGAGAAGGCCCTCCCCCTGGGGGCCGCCAGTCGACACTGCTTGGCTGACGGCACCTGGAGGAGCCCCTCTTATGAGAGTATACCGGCCGGTGGGAGGCTGTTTGTGGTAGTAGGCGGTCCTGTAAATAACCAGGTCCTAAGCCATGGAGCGCTCTAAAGGTGGTGACCAAAACCTTGAAGCGCACCTAGAAGACCACCGGGAGCCAATGCAGCTTGCGCAGGAGAGGTGTCACACGGGAGCGCCATGTTGCTCCCATAACCACCCGTGCGGCCGCACTCTGCGCCAGTTGGAGCCTCCAGGTGCTCCTCAAGGAGAGCCCCATGTAGAGAGCGTTACAATAGTCCAGGCGGGAGGTGACGGCATGAGTGACTGTATGTAGGACTGATCCAGAAAGGGACGCAACTGGCGAATCAGGCGAACCTGATGAAAAATCCTCCCGGTCACGGCCGTCAAGTGCTCTTCTAAAGACAGCCGTGAATCCAGGAGGACGCCCAAGTTGCGAGCCCTCTCTGTGGGGGCCAGCGATTCACCCCCAATAGTCAGCGATGGCGTCAACTGACTATATCGGGACGTCGGAAACCACAGCCACTCGGTCTTGGATGGGTTGAGCCTGAGTCTGTTCCTCCCCATCCAGATCCGCACGGCCACCAGACACCGGGACATCATTTCAAGGGCATCGTTGGTGTGGTCCGGGGTGAAGATGTACAGCTGGGTATCATCAGCGTACTGGTAGTACTTCACTCCGAAACCACGGATGATCTCGCCCAGCGGCTTTACATAAATGTTGAACAAAAGGGGCGAGAGGACCGACCCTTGTGGCACCCCACATATGAGGGGCCTCGGGGTCGACCTCTGCCCCCCTGCCAACACAGACTGCAACCGGTCTGAGAGAAAGGAGGAGGAGAACCACCGTAGTACAGTGCCCCCCATCCCTAACTCTTCCAACCGGTGCAGCATGATACCATGGTCGATGGTATCAAAAGCCGCTGAGAGATCTAATAGGACCAGGACAGAGGAGCAACCCCTGTCCCGAGCCCTCCAGAGGTCATCAACCAACGCGACCAATGCCCTTTCCGTCCCTAACCATACTCTCAACAACCTTTGCCACAAAACGAAGGTTGGAGACCGGACGATAATCAGCCAACACTGCCGGGTCCAGGGAAGGCTTCTTGAGGAGAGTCCTCACCACCGCCTCTTTCATGGTGGCGGGGAAGTCACCCTCACCCAACGAAGCATTTATAATCCTCTGGAGCCAGCCTCGCGTCACCTCCCGGGAAGCCAGCACTAACCAGGGGGGACACGGGTCCAATAAACAAGTGGTCGTGTTCAGTCTACCCAGAATCCTGTCCACGTCCTCAGGGGTCACAGGATCAAACTCATCCCAGATAACATTCTCAAGACCTGCCCCAGTCCCTCCCCCTGAGACTACCCAGTCGGAGTCCAAATCTTCCCGGAACTGAGTGATTTTGTCATACAGATACTGAACAAAATCCTCGGCTCTATCCTCCAAGGGGTCCTCCCGCGCTTCCTGGTGGAGCAGGGAGCGGGTCACCCTAAACAGGGCGGCCAGGCGGTTATCTGATGACGCAATAAGAGCAGCAAAATAGCTACATTTTGCTGCTTTAATCGCCACTAGGTAATTCCTAAAATGAGATCTTACCAGTGTCCGGTCCGATTCCGAAAGACTGGCCCTCCAACTATACTCTAGGTGTCTTTTCTGGCGCTTCAACTCCCTCAGCTCCTCAGTGAACCAAGGAGCCAAATGAGACCGGCGCCGGGTCAGAGGCCGCAAAGGCACGACCCGATTCAGAGCTCCAGCGGCCGCCCTATCCCAGGCGGCCACTAGGTCTCCAGTCGAGGTGTATGCCAGAACCTCAGGAAATGGCCCAAGCTCCATCTGGAACCTGTCAGGTTCCATCAGGCGCCTGGGGTGGAACCATCTCTGGCTTCGCCTCCCTGCGGCGGGGTGCAGCGGTTTGAAGGTCGAGACGAAGGAGAGAGTGATCTGACCATGACAAGGGCTCGGTAACTATATCCCCTATCTCAAGATCACTCAACCACTGTCCAGAGACACAAACCAGATCCAGCATGTTTCCCCCCGTGTGGGTAGGGCCATGAATTAAGTGGGTCAGGTCCATGGCTGTCATGGAAGCCATGAACTCCTGAGCCACCTCAGACGCCTCAACCACGGATGCCAAGTTGAAATCCCCCATGACCATAAACCTAGGGGTATCAACCGCCACCGCGGCGATGACGTTGAGTAGCTCGGGCAGGACTGCTGCCATGTGGCAGGGAGCCAGGTACGTGATCAGCAAACCCATCTGAGCCCCATGACCCCATTTCACAAGGAGGGATTCACAGCCAGCCGTCTGAGGAACAGTGGCCTCCCTCGGTCTCAGACCATCTTTAATGATAACCGCTACCCCCCCCCGCCCCTACCCTGCAACCTCGGCCGATGGAATGCGTGGAAACCTGGTGGGCACATTTCAACGAGAGGGACCCCCCCTTGGCCCAACCAGGTTTCCGTAATATCTGCCAGGTCTGCTCCCCCCCTCCTGGACAAGATCACAAATGAGGGGGGCTTTATTTACTACAGACCTGGCATTGCACAGCATCAGCCGAAGGCCCGGGCCCTGAGGATCTGCGCAACATGGAGAATGAGTGGAGCTTTGGGGGCCGGAGCGCGCCACCGCTCGAAGATAGTGGGGGCGCGCTCCCCTAACATGATATGGCCCCCCTGCTCCCACCATATCTACCCCTCCCACCCACAGTACTGATAGTAAAAGCTTTATCTGGATGAGCTTTAACCCCCCTCTCGACCCCAGGCCCCCCACCCTCCATGCCGCGCTTCACAGCCATACCCATAACCCATATCCCCCATACCCATGACCCTATTTCTAATCCAACCCTCCCCCTCCCTGGAACCCCTTAAAAAATTAGCTAAAACTTTATATAAAAAACCCCTCAACCCCCTCTTTGCGGCATGCCACCTCTCTGGGTTCCAAAACCCTTCATCGAGGTAGGCCTTCGATAACGTAGAAGGCCAGGTTTGCGAGGGGGGAGTCTCGCAAGGCAAAGCTGAGCCGGTGAATACATCCCTAAAAGTCCACCTGGGGAAGATGGAGTGAGGCCAAGGATTCGATGATGGTAAATTTAAAAGGTCCGGGAGAGACAGTCCACCATTTTGGCGCGGAACTAACCGGGGCTCCACTGTCCTCTCACAGCAGTGGAGAGGAGTCTCAGGCCGATGCCCCGAAGAACAATGACCAATACCTCTCACAGGTATTGACAGGTCTTATTCGGTGGCAGCAGCAGCAGGGTGACTCCCTCAGTGACCGCACCCAGGCTTAAACCTCTCCTCACAGCAAGGCATTATAAATGTAACTGGGACTGATGATACAGCCGGAAACCGGGGGTCAATTGTAGTCAGATCAGGGGTCCAATAAGTCCAAATTCAGTCCAATGCCGGTGCAGATAAGGTCCAGTTCGAATGACCTTTGTTGTATTTTGTTATCTTCTCAAATTCTTTCTCTTTTATTCTATTGTCTCCAGGCACTGACACATCCACTATCCAGACTTTTTTGTCTTATTGACAATTGTTAAGTCAGGTATGATGTGGCAGGTGCCAGTCTGTTTGAATTCTAAAGTCCCAGAACAATTTAACTTCTTCATTTTCTATGATTTTCTCTATTTTATGGTCCCACCAGTTCTTGCTTGCAGGCACATATTTCTTGCAGATCTTCCAGTGCACCATTGTTGCTACTTTGTCATGCCGCTGCTTGTAGTCAGTCTGTGTGATCTTGCAGCAGCTTATCAGATGATCCACTATTTCTTCAGCTTCTTTGCATAGGCGACACTTACTATCTGTTGCTGTCTTCTCAATTCTGGCTTTGTATGCATTTGTTCTTGTGGCTTGGTCTTGTGCAGCCAAAATTAATCCCTCGGTCTCTTTAATTTTCCTGCTCTTAGCCATTGCCAGGTCTTATTATCTGCTTTCCCTGCTATTTGTTTTAATGTACTGGCTATGTAGTGCTTTGTCTTCCCATGCCTCCATTCTGTTCTTCATTTGGTCTTTCTTGTACACCAGTTTGGTCTCTCCAGTAGTCGGTAAGCCTTCTTGGCATGCTAACTTCAGTGCATCTTCTTCACTGTCCATCAGATATTTTTCCAAAGCCCTTTTTTCTTCAACCATCTGATGTACTTCCACACCACTTACTTGCCTTGGTAGGTAGAGTCTGTCAATGCAAAGATGAAAGGCATGATTCATTGTCATTATTTTTCTGATCTTCCTATCCATTGCTTTTAGTTCCGCTTGTCCACTATTCCTGCTGTGTATCTAATGACTGGAATTGCCCAGATGGTGCCTTGATGGTATTTCCTTCATTGACTTTAGACTTTTAAGATCTTCTTCACTCTCTTGATGTATTAATCTCTAACCTTTTTCTTGACTTCAGTGTGCTTGATGTTGTCAACCTGAAGGATACCCAGGTATTTGTAGTAATCATCTTCATCCAGACTCTTATTTTCGTGGGGCATCTTGATTCCTTCAGTTTTCACTATTTTTCTTGTTTGATAGTAAGTGTCCAATTCAAACTCCATTGCAGTATATATGGACAGTATTGAGCAGAGATTCTATTTCAGGTAATGTTTTTCCATACAGCTTCAGATCATTCATGTAAAGGAGGTGCAAGAGTCTGGCAAATGTTTTTGATGCTTGATAGCCATGGCCTGAGTTGCTCAGTATTCTTGACAGAGGAAAGAGTGCAATGATAAATTGTGGTGATAGTGAATCTCCTTGGAATATTCCTCTCTTGATATTAATCTCTCCCAGCCTCTCACCATTGACCTGCAACTGTGTCTTCCATTTGCACAAAGTTTCTGATGTTTGTACTGACTCCTGTTATTTCTAGGCACTTGATTATCCATCCAGTCATGTGGCAGACAATTGAATGCCATTTTGTAGTCAATCCATGCTACATTTAGGTTGGTCTTCCTTCTCTTGTAGTTTTCCAAAACAATGGTTTTGTCAGTTAGGAGAGTTGATCTTTTGTTCTTCTGCTCTTAGGGTGGTTTCCTTTCTGCTCAGGTGGAAAGAGATTGTTTTTAACTATATTCTGTTAGACTGTCTCAGCCACCACACCAGTTAGGAATTTGAAAGTTGTTGGTAAGCAAGTAATTGGCTTGTAGTTGCCTGGTGCTGCCCCTTTTGCTGGATCTTTCTTTATCAAGTAGGTTTTGCCAGATATTAGCCACTCTTCAATTTCACTTCCTTGTAGTATGTTGTTAAACTGCTTGGCAATTTAGACCAGTTACATATTTCAACCCAAAACCATGCACTTCATCTTCACCTGGTGCTGACCAATTCTTGCTCTTCCTTGCTCTTCTCTCTACCATTTCTCTTGTTATTACTGGTTCTTTTGTTTCAACTTCTTTTTTATTCTTATCCACCTCTTTTAACCAAGTTGTGTCCTTGTTGAGAGATTTTTTTTCTTTTCCTCACCAAAAAAAGTAGGTGTGTCTTATAGTCCGGTGTGTCTTATACTCTGAAAAATACGGTACATTTCAGATACAAAATGATAAGTTCTTAATGATTCAGTGAAGCCATTTTTACCTACTGTCTTGAGTTCCAACTTGAATATCCTGTTTCCTTAGACACATTTCTCAATCTAGCAAAGCTGGAACTGAGTCATAAAGTGCAGCCCTAATGAAGGTACACATTGATTTTATCTAGTAGTAGAATAATAGTAGTCTAAAGAACTATCATTAATGTGGTAATAGTTGAGGTTCAAACAGGTGCTTAAAGGCGGAGGTATTCATTTGTGCCTAGTGCCTTTCTAAAGTGGTTTCAGATAAAGTTTCACTTTGAATGTAGAAGGTGAATATATCAACTGGATCCAATTTTCAGGAAATTCAACCAGAAATCAGAATGCATGGGAATAAATGGATTGAAACATTTTTATATTGTTCTACAGGAGGTCCATCAAGACATGTGTCTTGCCATTCCTCAACACTCAGCTCATCCTTTTTTTAGTTCACCAGCAGCCAGGGCACCAGTTCTTGCTCTGAGAAGTCTTAACGGTGGGAGAGGACAGAGGGGGAGGGGGGGGCGGCTCTGCACCAGGTTCTCTTCACCTGAAGCTCTGCCTGGCATGCCCTCCCCCATCCCATGCGCCTGGTTTTGGTTTTCCCACCTGGCTGAAGAAGGGCTTTACAGTGCTTCCTCTGAAATCCTCCTAGACTGATTGTGGGTGATGCTGTTGCCCAGATGTCAGGCTGACAGGCTTGTTTCCTCCCCCACTTTACAAGTGGGAGGGAGGTTTGCCCTTCTCTGATCATCTAATTCTCTGGTGCTCTTCCAATCCTCCCTGGTTTCTCTAGAGATCCAAAGAAGGGGCATACCCTGTGTCTTTTAGACACTTCATAAACTTTGCCTTTAAGAGGCAGGAGGAGAGGGAGAGCCTTGGTAGTACAGTGGTCTAAGGCACCCTGTTATTAAGCTGGTTATTAAGACTAGCTGCCTGCAATTACTGCAGGTTCGAATCTCACCAAGGCTCAAGGTTGACTCAGCCTTCCATCCTTTCTAAGGTAGGTAAATTGAGGACCCAGTTGCGGGGGCAATAAGCTGACTTTGTATAAATATACAAAAGGATGAAGGCTATTGCTTAGCGCATTGTAAGCCGCCCTGAGTCTCCGGAGAAGGGCGGCATATAAATCAAATTAAAAAAAAAAAACTGTAGCAAAGGTGCCTAAGCCACATCATCCCCTCTCCCTACAGGAGATGGCTTCTTAGGCATTTGGCACTGATCTTTCCATGACAGATCTGTAGGAAAGCAAGCTGGGCTGTCTCAGACCCTTTCTGTCTGCAGAGGCAGCCAGAAGATGAGAGGGCAACAGTGGGCTTTCCTTCAGTCATAATCTCAGCCACCATTTTTCTGTCTCCTACCAGAGATAACAGGTCAACTAGATTAAAACCTGTGCTTGGATTTCCTCTCCCTGGCTTGGATGAGATGCCTGTTTGATTTCACAATAGTATCAAAACCACAAAGTTCCACAGGTGCTTGCATTGCTTAAAGCTTGATTTAGACTTCAGGGATATAGGCCTCTTGTGTCATTTGGAGATGGTTGCTTAACTATTGCATTTATACTCCTGCAAATGTCAAGCTGGCCAGGGGGTGTTCAAACCACAGTGTGCCTTGCCTTCCATCTGCCTCCCAACAGGAAGTCAGATTAACCACTCGACATGCAGGATGCACATTTCCACATTGTGCATCGTTGAGATTTGGGAGACGTGCACCTTGGGCCGTCTGCAACTTGCCTGTAGCCATCAATCGCTTTGCATGGAGGTATATGCCAGTGCCTCTGCACAGTTGCAGACAAGTCTAAATTGAACTTTAGTATGGGCGGATGCAAGAGTGCCATCCATCTTGCCCCTCCTGAGTTGTCCAAACTTTTCCTTTGGGGGGCCGAGGCTGGAGTCCCTCGAAGTGCTATTTCAGCTCACCTCAGGCCAAACGGGTCATCTGCTGACTCCTTGTGTTCAGCAGGCATCCTTCTTTTTCTTGATCTCTATTTTTTGGAGGGTAATAAGCAGCATTTGGCACCTGTCCAAGCAGGTCTGATGGGCTTGGGGGTGGGTGAGAAGTGGGTAAGGAAGCCGCTTTCTTTGAAGTTTCAGTGCATTCCCCAGATGAGCTGCAGAGCCACAAATGGCATCGCCATAAAGAAGAACAGCACATTTCTAGATTGCTTGTCTTCCTTCGAACAAATATTTATGTGGAAATAGAAGTAGGAGCTGAATTGTTTCCATTTCCCCTCTTCATACTTTCTCCTCCCTCAGCACCACCCTTTGTTGTGGAAAGTTATATGTTGCCACTGCAGCAGCATTGTGTTGAAGGGCTTGAAATGGTATGCATGGAGCCCTCCTCCCGCCCCATTTCCCCTGCTCCAGAGAGATCGTTAGCGGGAGCTGGCCCTCGGTCTCAGTTCTTCAAAAGCAGGAGGAGGGATGGTGATGGGGGTACAGCAGTGACCCAGGTGAAATGCTCACCTGGGTTGCTGTGAAGGTAATGTGGGGGATCAGGTCCCCAAGGCCGAGCCTCTTTGGTGTCAGTGTTAGAGTCACACTGGGCTTTTCCTTCCTTCGCAGGTATTTAGCCAAGAATTCTTCAGCACTCTTCAGTGCAAGCGACTATGAGGTGGCACCTCCAGAATATCACCGGAAAGCCGTGTGAGCCACGTGCTATAACAGCACATAGGAGATGGCAGATTACCAGAAGAGATCCTTTGGTCTCTGCAGCTGCCCACTAAGTTCCACGTTTGTCCACAGTCCCTTCCTTGCACATGCATCTCTGCACAAATGGCAAAAGTGTTTGTGTCGTCAGTTGGAACTGCCACCATCTGAGTCCCAAGGGTGTTTCTTCAGTCCTGAAGGAAGGAAGACCGGCTCCTGGGATGCTTTACTGCAGCGGTTTGATGTTGGAATGTCGCTGGAAATGCACGATGATTTCATAGCCCGAACTCCTGCATGCTTCTTGGGCCGCTTTCTTTGGAGCAAAGCCTTACCTGCTGCTGACGGTTTGATGCCGTGTTGTCAACCTTTCCCACAAACAAACTGGCTGCCAGTATTGGGGGGAGGGGGATCAAGCACAGATGGGGGGGGGGGGGAGGGTCCTTGTGTGCTTTGTTGGTGTTGGGAGGGTAAAATGTTGTGAACGTGTCTGTTCTTTGCATAGCTGAAGAATTGTGGGATTAGTAGGTGGGGTTGAATGCACCTTCTAGCATAGGAGGAATTTGCCATGGTCCCTCCAGGTGTGGTGATACGATATTCTCTGCAGGAGATAGGTACAAGTCTCCAAATAAAATTTTCTACTTCAGCTGTTAAAGGCTTAAGTCTGTACTTTTCTGCAAAACCACTTTGATCTTTAAATGTTGAAGGATAACTGATTCTTGCCGTACTTCAATGCTAAAGAATTTGATCATTGCTGTTGCCAAATGCAAATTCTGAACTGTGGTGGAGCTGACATGGCTGGCATTCAGCAACAGCAACACTTTAAGTCCAATAATCCAATGACCAGGTCCACGCCAGGGCAAGCAAGTCAGTAGAAGAGGTTGGAGTTCCTCTCGTCCACTTCAATTCCCACTGTATTAGCTTGATAATGATGGGATTCCACAGCTACGTTGTGCACCCCATATTCTAATATCCCACCCCCAGCACAGAGCAGAGAGATTGGAGAGGAAGAGATTTCAAGAGAGTAAGCTGTTTGCTCCTACACTTCAGAGCAACACAATTGTGCTGGCAGTGGGGAAAGGCGAAACAAAGGGGAGATTTACAGAAATTGCTTGGGTTCCCCACCCCCACTCCCAAACTAAGATTGGAGAGGAGGAGATTGCAAGAGTGTACTCTAAGTGAGGGGTCCCCAATCTCCAGGCCTATTAGGAACCAGCCACAGGTGGATGAGCAAAGTTTCATCTGCGTGTGTGCCAGGATCTAGGTAGCATAGGAAACTAGCCTGGTCTGTGGAAAAATTTTCTTCCATGAGACAATCTCCCTGGTGCCAGAAAGGTTGGGTCCCGCTGCTGTAAATTGTTTGTATGGCTCAGCCATGGCTCTGTTTTCTGGTGATTATATTGCTTTTAATGTGCAGAAGAGCAAAACTGCTTGCTTTCTTGCAATCCCTTCCTCTCCAATTGCTGCCCTTCAAGGGGGTGGGGAACCAGTTCAGGCAAGGTCAATGCTATTGATTGTACCGTAATGGTGATCACATGGCTGAGGGAAGCTGCGAAGGTCAGAAATAGGCTGTAAAATTCTTTTTCCAACACAAGGGAGTACTTCCCATATACAGTAGTAGCTCTTCAAAGAGGGGTCACTGGAAATCCACCCAGAACCATTCCTGGATGTCCTTGACCCTAAAATAGCCACATCTCCCAGAGACTTGGGTGCCCCATGCTTCAGCTCACTGCTGGCAGACTGCTTTTTAGGGGACTCCCTGGCTGGGCCATGTAAACGAGGAGTCCAGACCTTTGCTCCCGTTGCCCCCAGCATTCACAAACTCTGTAAAGGACGTGCTTCTGCTCCCTGCAGTTGCTTCCATCTGTGAGGGCCTGCCCCCAGTAAAAGCCCACTCTCCCAGATGCGTCTTGGCCCTCCTCCATCACAGTTGCAGCCCTCCTTGAGCAGAATGACTGGTTTCACTTCCCTGCTAAGCACCATTGCCTCTCTGACCCCAGTCAGTTGGTCACTGGGTTCCAGCTCTCCACCTCTATCCTGGCTCTAGTCGGTAGGAAAGCACCTGTGTTCTGCTAGTGCCCAACGGGGCCTCCAAGAATGGTGGGCATCATGCCCAACCACTGTGCCACTGCTGATGCTACTTTGGTTCCAGCCAGCTACTCTTAAGCTGTTGCCATTGGGCAACAGCTACATCTTGCCACCCCAAACATGCCATCACTATGATTGTCTTGGCTCCAAGCCAGTCCCCCTCTTCACTTCTCTTGGTCTTCCCAGCTCCGGTCTGTCTTTCGGGCTACTGTTCTCCCAATCAAGCAACTTTCTCCACTGGTCCAGCTGGTCTTCCAGGCCAAGTCCTTACCACCTTTAACCATACAACTATGAAAGCTTCATCATTCATCACAAAATGTATATTTAAGCTACAGTCCCTCTTCCAAAACTCCAACCTTGCATATGTGAACTGTTTGTCCCCTCTAATACCATCTCAGAGTAAAATCTTATTTCGCTCTCTGTCCCCTTATCTGCAAAGCCACTGCTGCTCCAATTGAGAACTCTGATCTCCAGCAGCAGCATAACTGGAGTTTCTGTGACAATCCTAGTCAAGCTTGGGTGGCACTGTCAACTAAGGGATGTTAGCATACTGACAACACTCCATTCCAATGAATGACATTATCTAATGACTTCATACAGATGTTAAATAACATAAGGGAAAGCAGAATTCTATGATTATGTCATAAAATTGAATTCAAACCACTTGAAATAGTTTTCCAATAGTTCTTTTATTCTTGGGTTATTCGGACAAAAAGCAAAGCCAGTGTGCAACAGCTTAATTAGTTCCTTTATATTTGTACATATACTTGTCTAATTTCAAAGTTATCTTACTACAATAAGCTATGCCCAACAAGGCTATTCAAGTTGCTCTAAGTATTGTTGCCCAACTAGGCTACACACACAATATTTACATACACTCTCAACACAGGTGATCAGGCTGTGTTAGAGTGGGCTGGGACGCCAACAAGAGTCATCTCACACTTCGAGTCTTCTCTTTATACCAGGCTCGTTTACTCTGAATCCATGTGTATGATACATATTGTCTTGTCAACTTGTCCAGTCTTGTCAGGAACATCACATTCTTACTCCCTGTTCCATGACTATAAAAACTGCAATCCATTACATTCCTTATGCCCACTAATGTCCTACCTAGAATTACCAACAATGAATCCTTCATACTCAGAATCTTTCCTTTCCTTACCGTACACATATTCCTTTCCGTACACATATTCCAGCAACATGAGTTTCCCAGTGAGTTCATGAAAAGGCTAACTATGGTTGTATTACAAGCCCTCTATATTCATAACTTATATTTGTGATATTTTAATCACATAAAATATGTAACAGTATCCATACTGGAGTTACCAGGGATTTACCGTAAGTAATCCCCCTCTTCCCCAACTAGAACTAGCCACACAAATTGGAGTGGAATCATAGGAGTACAAGGGCCTCCAACTCATGACCCTTATACTTCATCCAGCAGGATACCATATGGTAGTTGATGGTATCAAAGCTGCCACTAGATCTAAGAGATATCAGGAGGGCCATATTCTATCCTGCAAAAACCATCAATCATTTTTGTCCTTTGGCCATGAATCCTCACAGAAAGAACTCTGGATCCTCTCTGTCTTCTGGGGTTTTCTGTTAGCTTAGTCACATTTCAATATCCTTCCCTAAATGGTATTGAGGAGGAGGAAACTGCAACAGACATTAATGAGAGTAGAAAATTTGGAATAAGATATAAGATCAAATGGTTGATTTACATTAGGACCAAGTAGAAAGTTGGATGATTACTGAGAGTATCTGAAAATACTGAAATTTTTTGGGGAGGAGTTTAAAACTGGCTCTTCAGTCTGGTGGGCATCCAGAGTTTTCTTCTGGCAACTCTGAGAAGTTTGGAGGCTAGAAGGCTTTAGGTTCGAAACTTGCATGTGACATAATGGGGTAGAGGAAGGCAGGATGGAGAAGTTGAAGGATTGGGGGTTTAAGTGTCCCCTGCTTAGAGGAAGATGAGCAGGCTAGAAACAGGCTGGAAACGTAACCCAGATGTCTGTGGCCTGGGTTATATTAGCTGGAGCCAGGCTTCCTCTGCCCTGAAGTATTTAGAAAAGTGATCTAGCAGCTGCTGCCTCAACGGCCAGGGGCTCTGAAAGCTCAAAAGAGGCTTTGGTTTCAGTCCTCCTGACTTTCTCTGGATGAGTAATTGTCAGGAACATGGGATGTTCCACTGGTCTGGCAAATGTTCTAAGTCGGATACAAAAAATATGCTTTTTATTCTGGAGTGTTTTATTCCCAGTCCAAATCTTTCTGTATTGCCAGCACTACCCGACTGTATGTCATTGAAATAAAAATAGTCGTCCATGTGTTCAGTTGTGCCTGAAATAGCCACTGCTTGTGGCCCAGAGCCGTCTCTCTGGCGGGCTAAGTGATGTACGTGCCAGTCAGTACCAAGGTTTCCTGGATAATCTGCAATAAAAATGTAAACCACAGTTAAAATCTAAAAACTACAAAAAGAAATGTTTAACACCAAATATGAGTGGATGATCCCATAACACAGTTAGAATTAATGAAGCTCTTCAGATGATGACTGCAAAGGAGTATATGGGTGGGCATGTCTATGTAGTCCATCACTGGAGGTTCTTAAGAAGAGATTGTACAGTCATTTGTCCTGAGTGGTATAGGGTCTCCTGCTGGGGCAGGGGGTTGGACTAGAAGACCACCAAGGGTCCCTTCCAAGACTCATATTCTGAGCCAGCAGTGCACTGCAGCTTCTAAAACAGCCTCAGTAGTCTTGGGTTGCATCATGGGAGGTGATTCTTGCAGTGGTCAGACCACATCTGGAACATCAGATATGACCAGTTTTGGTTGCTGCAATACAAGAAGGATGCTGGAGTTTTAAACTTTATCTCTTTTACGAATATCTTTCTTAAGGATGAATGAACATTACAGGCATGGACAGGAAAATTGCCCTTGCCTGTAATGAAAACACCATCACCCAACAGGCTGCCCCCGACGGGGGCTGTGAATCGCTGAGCGCGAGATGCGGCCGGCACAGGTCGCCTTCAGAGCAGCTTCTGGCCCTCCTCCAGCCATCCCCCCCATCCTTGCAGGTCAGCGGCCCCGGGACCCTCTGCCCAGGAGCAGCGCCCCACCTGCTGCCAGTTGTTCCCTGGCAGGCCCTTCTGGAGGCGGCCCACAAAGAAGCAGCGAGAGGCAAAGTGGGGTCTTCCAAGTGGTCCCCACCTGCACTCACACTAAGCTCTGTGGGCTCTTTCCTGCCCTTATCAGCGGCGCTCTGGGAAGTGCAAGCAAGGGGCAGCCGGAGCTTGCTCGGGGCTGCTGCAAGACGGCAGGCCGATGGGTGGCTGGGAATCTTCCCTGCATGGCCCTCCCATGGGCTTCGCAAGGCTGCTGGGGGGGGGGCGGTGTCTGGTTGGTTTATAGAGGTTTTTTAAATGTATATATATCTGTTAAAGGTAGTTAACATGCTTCTTAAATAACGAACTTCCTCCTCGAATTAGATGCAAGGCTGGGAATTGCATTTAACCTCTGGCAGGGGCAACAATGGAGGCAGGCAGGGCAACCACCGAATCAGGTTCTCCGTTT